CTCAATCTATTCTAGAACATCTCGTGTATTTTTTTTACAGTTCTTATGTTGTTCTGTAATGAATGTAACAGTTCGGGACTGTTTTTGGGAAGTCCTTCAGAATGTCCAAGTACAGATTAAGCACATTTCTCATTAAAAGAGAAAAACAGGACAGATTGAGAATCGTAAGTGGGCTTTAAATGAGACAAATTTTCACAGGGGAAATTTATACTTCAGTTTGTCCAAAACCCAGTGATATTGGAATTAAGTTTTATCAAGTTTTTAAAAGAAATATAATGACACACACTGAATACATGTTTATTTACTGAAACAAGATTTACATAAAATAGTTTTTTATGTAACAAACTTTTCAAGTGAAAATATATTAAGTTTAAAGCAGCTCATACATCAATATGGGCAATTATTTTACCCTATGTGACAAAATAATTTTATATTGCACTCATGAACATTCACATAAGTAATATTTCTCTCCAGTAAAGGACTTAGATAAATGAATTGCATCACACGTTACACAAGCTTCATGAGACAAAGTTGCTCTGTGTCACTCTCTCTCTCTCTCTCTCTCTCTCTCTCTCCCCCCCCCCCAGCCTCTTGTTAAGAAATTTATCAACAGGAAAGTTGTACACAGAAGCGTGGAATTAAAAAAGTAAATTAAAGTGCGTAAAATGTGAAAAGAATTACTTTGAAGAAGAAGCATGAAGGATGTTGTTTGGAATTTTAATGAAATAATTGTGGCACCAATCCCATAACTTTCACACACCTCGTATAGCATACTTCCTTAAGAAACAAAGTCCTCTTAATATGAAAATGAGCCCCTCTTTTATCCAGACAATTCACAGCTACAAATCAGCATGTCCATTTTCAATGCATTCACAAGAAGACAATAACAAATGACTGACAAGAATTCCCGAGAGGAAGGGACAAGTAATTATCTTTACACAGCTCACTTCCTCTGCGACCTTCCTCCTAGGCTAAGGACAAAACTATGACCTTCACCCTCAATTTAAATGTGACCTTTACCTGCAGTATGACGGTCAATCCACATTGACACAATTCAATGGTAAATGTGGTACTTATTTTCTGCTTAAAATCAAAGTCAAGAGGCATCCACCGTGGCCTATTCACCTTTGCCTATGAAGAACAATCTGGCTTTTACCTGAGGATATGTCCAGTATTATCTTGAAATTCTCTTTGAAGGTCAAATTTATAGTAAAAAATAACTTTCTGACAGTTGAAGGTCAATCCAGTCTGACCTTCACAATCACATGACCTTTTATTTTTATGTGTAGTATCACATAGTGATAGCTCTAAGATCACCGAAAACTGTCCACTTTTATGGTCAAGCCAACCTCCGGCCTTCTCTGGACACTGCAGCCATCCACTGCCCCTGTTACTGCTCTGTTTTTTCTCCTGAAACAGAAAGAAATTTGTCCTAGGTCATACCTTTCCGTCCATGTAATTGCTAGGCTATTAAATTCATCAATCTCTCACAGCGTCAGTTTTAATTGAAAAACATACTGTTCATCTTAAAAAGTATACACTTCCATGGGAAGAGGGCTAAAGAAAGAACAAACATATTAAAAAACCATTTCATATTTCTCACCTCCTTTTCTTTTCCTCTATGGCTTGTCTTAAATTTTCCAGTCCTATGAAATCTTCTTCAGTTTTGAAGTCATCCTGGTCCAATGGGTCCCTGGCCAAATCCTTCACTCCAATGACATCGCCATCTTTCAAATGATACGGGGCCTGTCTCAGGTTGTCCTTCTTTGGACTGTTACTGCCTCTGCCTTTTTTCCCTCGATGTTTAATGGTCTTGTTCTAAAAAGTTAACAGCAGAACATAAAAAAAAAAAACATCTTGAATTAATTTAAGATTAGTGATTCCAATAATCTTGCTAAACTTTATAAGAACATTACAATGATTATGCTATCTACATGTATTTCAATACATCAACTTTTTTAGGATACTGAAATGCTTAAAGAGTGAACAAGAAAAGTTAACTTAAAGTAAAGTTAATTGATCCCACCCCCTTTTTTTCACAAATGCTGATGATAACATTGAAAAAAGTAACAAAATTTGGCACCCTTACAGCCTTGTCAGTGTCTTTGAGGACCATCCATTCAAACTTCTCAGGAAAATGCTTAGCTATCACTATCCTCTCCACAGGGACCAGGAATGCATCTGCTATAGTTTGCCTTAACGCATATGGACTTGCATCTCTTGCANCTCTCTCTCTCTCTCTCCCCCCCCCCCCAGCCTCTTGTTAAGAAATTTATCAACAGGAAAGTTGTACACAGAAGCGTGGAATTAAAAAAGTAAATTAAAGTGCATAAAATGTGAAAAGAATTACTTTGAAGAAGAAGCATGAATGATGTTGTTTGGAATTTTAATGAAATAATTGTGGCACCAATCCCATAACTTTCACACACCTCGTATAGCATACTTCCTTAAGAAACAAAGTCCTCTTAATATCAAAATGAGCCCCTCTTTTATCCAGACAATTCACAGCTACAAATCAGCATGTCCATTTTCAATGCATTCACAAGAAGACAATAACGAATGACTGACAAGAATTCCCGAGAGGAAGGGACAAGTAATTATCTTTACACAGCTCACTTCCTCTGCGACCTTCCTCCTAGGCTAAGGACAAAACTATGACCTTCACCCTCAATTTAAATGTGACCTTTACCTGCAGTATGACGGTCAATCCACATTGACACAATTCAATGGTAAATGTGGTACTTATTTTCTGCTTAAAATCAAAGTCAAGAGGCATCCACCATGGCCTATTCACCTTTGCCTATGAAGAACAATCTGGCTTTTACCTGAGGATATGTCCAGTATAATCTTGAAATTCTCTTTGAAGGTCAAATTTATAGTAAAAAATATCTTTCTGACATTTGAAGGTCAATCCAGTCTGACCTTCACAATCACATGTGAAGGTCATTCCAAACAGACCTTTTATTTTTATGTGTAGTATCACATAGTGATAGCTCTAAGATCACCTAAAACTGTCCACTTTTATGGTCAAGCCAACCTCGGGCCTTCTCTGGACAGTGCAGCCATCCGCTGCCCCTGTTACTGCTCTGTTTTTTCTCCTGAAACAGAAAGAAATTTGTCCTAGGTCATACCTTTCCGTCCATGTAATTGCTAGGCTATTAAATTCATCAATCTCTCACAGCGTCAGTTTTAATTGAAAAACATACTGTTCATCTTAAAAAGTATACCCTTCCATGGGAAGAGGGCTAAAGAAAGAACAAACATATTAAAAATCGATTTCATATTTCTCACCTCCTTTTCTTTTCCTCTATGGCTTGTCTTAAATTTTCCAGTCCTATGAAATCTTCTTCAGTTTTGAAGTCATCCTGGTCCAATGGGTCCGTGGCCAAATCCTTCACTCCAATCACATCGCCATCTTTCAAATGATACGGGGCCTGTCTCAGGTTGTCCTTCTTTGGACTGTTACTGCCTCTGCCTTTTTTCCCTCGATGTTTAATGGTCTTGTTCTAAAAAGTTAACAGCAGAACATAAAAAAAAAAAACATCTTGAATTAATTTAAGATTAGTGATTCCAATAATCTTGCTAAACTTTATAAGAACATTACAATGATTATGCTATCTACATGTATTTCAATACATCAACTTTTTTAGGATACTGAAATGCTTAAAGAGTGAACAAGAAAAGTTAACTTAAAGTAAAGTTAATTGATCCCACCCCCTTTTTTTCACAAATGCTGATGATAACATTGAAAAAAGTAACAAAATTTGGCACCCTTACAGCCTTGTCAGTGTCTTTGAGGACCATCCATTCAAACTTCTCAGGAAAATGCTTAGCTATCACTATCCTCTCCACAGGGACCAGGAATGCATCTGCTATAGTTTGCCTTAACGCATATGGACTTGCATCTCTTGCGGCATCCCAAAGAATTTCTTGGTATGGTGCGTAGGTGAGGGACTCTGGGATACGTTGACACACGTGGAGAAGAATTTGACTGGGACTGGAAAAATAAAGCAGCATATTGAAACTTTAAATCTTCAGGAAAACTTTTCATATACAATTTCAAATGTTTATAACTGTTATAGACTGACTAATCTTTGTAGGAAACCAGCAGCCCTAGTCTATCCCCTACTTTTTGAACTACAGATTCCAATTAAAAAAATTCAGTTAACAAAATTCAAAGGCAAACATGTTCTTGAACATCTTGAATTCTGTTTTAACTTGAAATAGTGTTAATATAATTAGAAAGTAAGGGTAAAGTTACCTGAGACTCTCTTCTTCCTGAAGTAATTGCACACACAGCTGACTTGCACTGGTCACCTTCAGACGTCTGAGCAAGAATTAATAGAAATATTAATTGAAAATTCAATCAATATACATAATTTTGCATTAAATTGCACATTTTTTTGCCACAAAATGTTGTATGCTATTTAACTCATTGTACTAAATATTCTTCACTATGTAATGGTGTTATTAAATTACGTCAATTCTTAATGAAATTATCAAAATTATAACCAACTCCCACTTACTGCAATGTCTGTTGATTTCCCCTTAACACAGCAGTCAGCCTATCCTTCACTTTAAGCCGGACACGCATGTAATTCAAAGTAGGCACCACAGCATCATTTAAAGCAGGAAGACTCAATATCTGTAGCTTTAGTTCCACGAGGGTGTCTTTCTTTCCTATAATCACTTCTCCTATAGATGTGAACTCTGCCTGAGCTGGTGTACTACTACTACTACTACTGAGATCACTCTTATCACCAGAGCCACCACCAAAAAGTCCTTACAAAAGAGAGAAAACAAACAATGGACAATAACCGAAAGTTGATGAAATTTTGTTTAAATCTTCCAATTATAATATCAAAATATTTTGCACTCACTAGAGATGAACTGGTCCTGAAGTTAATTTCACTTTTGGAAATTGAAATATGGTACATTGGAAACAAGAGTTGCCTGGGCAGACCAATCTTGTAAATAAATTCTCCATATTGGAAAATGTTCCCCACCATTTCTACTACACTAAGGTCATTCTGTCTATAAAATTTGCCACATGTATTGTGCTGTCATCTTTAAAGTGGCCCAGCAATAATTATGGGCGGCCAAAAGGGCAAAAATTCATGTCGTNCAGCAGTCAGCCTATCCTTCACTTTGAGCCGGACACGCATGTAATTCAAAGTAGGCACCACAGCATCATTTAAAGCAGGAAGACTCAATATCTGTAGCTTTAGTTCCTCGAGGGTGTCTTTCTTTCCTATAATCACTTCTCCTATAGATGTCAACTCTGCCTGAGCTGGTGTACTACTACTACTACTGAGATCACTGTTATCACCAGAGCCACCACCAAAAAGTCCTTATAAAAGAGAGAAAACAAACAGTGGACAATAACCGAAAGTTGATGAAATTTTGTTTAAATATTCCAATTGTAATATCAAAATATTTTGCACTCACTAGAGATTAACTGGTCCTGAAGTTAATTTCACTTTTGGAAATTGAAATATGGTACATTGGATACAAGAGTTGCCTGGGCGGACCAATCTTGTAAATAAATTCTCCATATTGGAAAATGTTCCCCACCATTTCTACTACACTAAGGTCATTCTGTCTATAAAATTTGCCACATGTATTGTGCTGTCATCTTTAAAGTGGCCCAGCAATAATACTTGCAGAGTGGAAACACTGATCTAGCTACAACCATGCTATGAGATTTTCTTTTGAGTCAATAAATAATGGTAAAAATATTTCATGAAAAATCTCACAATTTTGGATATATTCACACCCCAGGAGTGCTTTATTTCAGTTTTGCCTCACCTGATATACCAGTGGCTATCCATGAGAGCATACCCTCATTCCTATCTTTGTTTGTTTTAAGAAAATACACTGGAAGCTGGAGATAACCCTAAAATTAAAGATAAAAGTAAGATTAACATATGTCCATATGATCTATCTAAGAAGTATGGCCCTTGACAAAGTTACCTAAGCTAATAATTTGATTGTCAAAGGGACATCCAGGTTCTCTGTCACAGGTGAATGTTTCAATGTAAGGGAATATTATTTGTTACTATTTTCAGCGATAAACCAATCATTTTTTCTAACCTAACTCAACCTAATGACAATTAAAAATCTTGTGTACGGCAAATGTACAACATTAACTTTTCGTTACTTTTCTTTTGAAGATTCTGTAATATGAACCCTTAAGTCATTACTTTATTACACTTAACTCCATTTGCCTCATCTTATGAACCCAACTTTGACCTCTTCAATAAAATTATAAATATGAATAACTTACTTTTGGAGGCACCCTTCCCTCCTCCAACAAAAGATGGTCGCCATCTTTTATATCGCACTGTTCCAGACTGGATGCCACATCGTCCAGTATCTCCCCGGCCTCCCCGCACCAATTAGTCTTGCGTAAATGCCAATTATCACCTGAAGAGATACACACCTGACTTTGGAAGAACTGATGAATAATCCACTGGGAAAATACATCTAAACAATCATTATTAGGTTAAGTAATTTGAAAAACCTGGCAAGCAATGAAATTGATCCTTTAGACTATACAACATCCTTCATTAATGATTGATAAAGTATGCTTAGATGCAGCTCTCTGATTAAAGATACTATTAACTGACACAACAATGATTGAGTTGAATTGGAATTATGATTTTTCCTAGCTTTTATGCATTTTCCAAGCAGGCTTTGTAATAGCCTTTCAACTGCACTAGTGTAATCTGGTTCAATAAAGAGTACTAAAACATTTGCACAGAAAACTCAATGCTTTTAATCTAACTGAAAAAAAAAAAACCTTTTTGCATCTATCAAGCAATTAATTATTTCAGAATCCACATACTGCAGGTGTTATGTAGTATTGCTACTCCAACCTACCAGAAAACCCTGCTTTTTGTACCATCTCTTCCATGCACTGCTGGACTGTGCAAGATTTTTTCACCATAATTTCCAAGTCTTGAAGGTCATCTGAAGGGCTTCCTGGGGTGAAGGTCAAGGTCATCTGAAGGTCAAACGCACAGTTTTACATGGTTTTTACACTGAAGGAGAATTCTGATTCCTGTCACAGATTATCATGAAACAGCCATATCAAATACAACTATATTAAAAGAATCTCTTATATTATTGAAAACCGTAACCTTAAAAAAAAAAAAAAAAAAAAAAAAAAAAAAACACTGTTATATCAATGTAGCTTTCAAACAACACTATATTATCATGTTATCATAAACCATGCCCTGGCTTGTGATAATCACCTGGTCAGTGAGAGGTGGACTGCCTGGCTGTATGACCACATGTTGACCACTTTTCAACCCAGCTGTGACCACATCCTGTTCTTCATGTACTGAAAGATAACAAACACATACAGTAACTGTTACATGCACAGGATATATATACAACACCCAAATATCCGCCTTCATGTATAGTCCCAGAACACATTCATCTATACTTGGACCAGAAGATCTGGTGTCCTTCAAGGACAATAAAATCAAACTTACAGGGAGGCCTGAGCCCCAAGTTTGAATCCTCCACCCTTAGTCTTCCCCCACCAGGTACAGAGCTGATTGTGAACGCTGACATTATCACTGCCTTCAGATCTGACACTCTCTGAAAATGATGATAAAAGTCTGCTTTCATCTTGATTTATATATACTTACATCTCAACTTACATTATTCTACCATGTAATGTTGGTTAAATTCATTGTAAACAGTTTAATTTGTACCTTTGGTAAAGATATCAAAATCAGTACAAAAAAGGACAGCATAATACTCACCGTTTCTCTGTCTATTTCAACAGTGGTCACAGGGTAAGCATCCATTGCAGAGTGATCCTTTAAGAAAATGAAATATGTGAATTATTTTAAAACTTGTCATTGAGATCATGCTACATTCAAGTTCAATCTAGGTCATTTTAGGAAAACGTTCTCACTATAAGAGAGGTGAAACATTAGGCCCTTTATTTAACTTTGTTAATGTCTCACTTAACAAGAAAAAAATGCTTAATGCTTTGAACTGTGTATTGAATTATGTAGTAAGTGTTTTTGTTCAGGTATTTAAAAGCTCAAAAATCAAGACATTGTATTGCTTCTATTTTTCAACATTTTATCAGATTTAATCAATTTTGATATTCAACAGAATGCATTGTATAAGCATTAATTATAATGTATTTATTTATTATTATCATCTAAACAACAATGCCTGTTCTCTGGTCTAATAGCTTAACTTTGAAAAAATATAAATTTTTTATAGGAAAAGCATCGAATAACATTTTCAGATATCAGAGTATGGAGAACTGTCTAGGAGAGTTTGGACCTCCACTAAGACCCCCTAGTGCCTTTTATGTATAAAATAATCATTTTAGTGTTCACTTTAGCAAAGCCTCAAGTATTCTTCTATTTTTTATTCTAATCACTTCAAAGTCCGCACTGAAGTCTCAATCAGGTCTGACCTAGACCTCAGATATAATTGACAGCTTCTTGAGGTAGATATCAGCTGCATGCATAGAGAACTGATAAATATGACAAGTATCTTATTTGCTAAAAGGTCTTAAGTGTTTTTTTTTTTTTTTTGACATCAGTACCTGGCATCTGTTCTCTACTTCAAGAATAAGCTTGTTAGACTTCTTCAATAAGGAGTCCTTAGCAACGCTGCTACTGAAACAGAAGTAATTTTCTTTAATGGGCTGAGATTGGAGTATGGAAGGTATTAATTAGTGACGGCTGTACCTTGGGGAACTGCTGCTTATCTACATTTCATATTTTGTTTCTTCTTTTTCCTTTTTCTCCCAAGATTGCATCTGGCAAATCAGGTCTCATTAATTCACTGACTAGAAAAATCTTTTAATTATTCCCATGAAACAAGACTTAGTGCCAAATTAGAAAGAAAGCTTTGAATTGATTTACATTTTATAACAAATAATGACACAGTCTGGCTACAGGTTACCTAGTTTCTTTGGTGTCTTCAGCTATAAGGTTGTCACCGTCCTTAAGTCTCAGCTCTTCCAGTGTCTTTCCTTCATCTATGGGACTAAATGGAACTGCTGATGTGGTATCATCTAGTGAAAAGTAAAAGAATATGGTAATCATTTACAACCCTCATATGGCTTTTTTAGGTCAATATTTCATTTTTTGATCAAATTTCCCACTTTTTGTTTTCATAACTTAAGTTGTACCTCTGTTAAAGCTAAACTCTAAAGGGAAACTGAAAACCAGAGGTAACTTCATGTGACACCAAATTCCCTGTCACCAAAGCTGTAAAATAACCTAAGGCTCATGATGACTTTGAAAACAATAATCTTTACAAAAAATGCTTGCAATGATAAACAAAAGAAAATTGTTATCCCTAAAAAACATTAGCTAATTTTTTTTCAGTTACAAGATGTTTGCAAAATTCACAATTTTTTTCATACAATATGGATCACTAACCTTTTGTGACCAGCTGGCAAAGCTTCAGGTTTTCTGGGTCGATGGGGGTGAGTTCACCCAACATCAGCTTCAGTTCACCAAGGGTGCAGTTCTTAGGGAACCCCTGGGACAGCTGGGAAGGGTTGCCATAGGTCACATTGAGGTAGACTGGCTCTGTGGCGACACCTGTAGGGATGGATTCTCCTTGAATCTGAAACAGGAAACCCCAAACATAAGATGACATGTAACAAAAAATCTGTAAGATCCTGACCAAAACATACCAGAGATACAAAATAAAAGAAGCTAACTTGATTATAAAATATCAATAATAAAAGGAATGTGAAGAGGGAAGAGATGATATTTTCAGTCAATTTCTAATTCTGCCATACCTGCACTCCATCCCACAGCATAAAGTATGTACCATCACATATGTAGGCATCTTGACATATCACAGAATCTGCAGCTAAAATCAATATGTTCAATATCACCTGTCACCAGTTCAACTAACCTCATGGAATGTCTTAGGATTATTCTAGCATACAAACGTTTGCCAAATATCACTGAAGAGCTATTCCAAAATATTTATCCATTTTGATTTTTTTTCATGGTTATTTATCTCATCTTTTCATATTCAATAAAAAAAAGGAAATGAGCCACTGCATCTTTTTGACTTTAAGTCTTAAACTAAACGTATGAAGCTAAACTAAACCCAAGAAGCTTAAAGGAAGAAAATATTACTGGGAGTGTGGAAAACTGTGTAATGACTGTAATGACCCCCCCCCTCCCCCACACACACACACACACTATTGGAACTATCATGCATGTTACAGAGTGGTGAAAAGTGTGGACTCCCGCCCACCCACATACACACACACTCTGGGAACTATCAGACACATATCATGACTGATGCACATGCACTCCTATTACCTGTCAACAAGTCATAGACATGCAGTCCAGCAGGTAGCTCCTTGACAAAACTCAGTTCAAACTTGGGAGGCACCAATTCTCCACATTCCTGTGAAAAGTGAAACAATTTTTATAGGTAGCAATTAAAAACAAATGAAGACAAATAATTTTATTGCAATTTTTTACAACCAAATATTTGTTTTCCATACCTTGAAAAGAATGTATATCATGACAAATGTGAAGACTAATTTTGGTCAATCTGACCAATTTCTTTATCTTCCTGGAATTGTAAGGAACGTGTAAGGCACCTGTTTTAAACTTACCTCTAGTATGAGCATCTTAAGCTCCCCCACTGTTTTCCTTCTGTCCAGTGGGATTTCCATAAAAGAAAGACTATCTGGAATCGCTTGTATGGCACCTGCTATGAACTCATGCTGGTCTCCAAAGAAAATCTTCACTGTTATCTTATTGACTGCAATGTCATATTCTTCTCTGAAATGTATTAAATTATAATGAGTCAATATTTGAAGTTTTGAACTTTTATATCTAACATGTAGCAAGGTATTTGCCAACAGATATCAAGCTGAAGGTTAGGTATTTTTCTTACAGCTGCCCAATTCCATATATTTAAGTTATTGAACATGCATCATAAATAAAGAGCTTCTTATCATGAAATGAAAATCAAGATCTTCCAATCTAAGTTTTCAGGTATGAGACTGCCACTTAGTGAAAAAGTCTAAAAACATGGCATTGGGTGAAAGGGGCCACCGGCATCGATCTCAAAAATGATATTTTTAGCTTCCAAAAAGTCAGAAATACGCCGCTAGTTGAAAGAATCTCATTATTGAGTTTTACCTCTTCCTATCTACTTCCTTATTTTCTCTCATAACTTCCTGGATCAGTGACTCAGGCATGCCATGTGTTGGATCATGCTTGGCTGGAATGAAAAAGTAAATGGCGTTTACTTATTAATCTTTGCAATAGTTTTGCTGGTTGTCAACCTTTCATATTTCAGAAATATGGGTACCAATTGTATGACCTCTGACTTGGCCTTAATCACACTTCTTAATAGCTGTAAACATGGTGAAAATGTACTGGTTGACAACAAACTTAAACACCTAAGACCCCATTCCCAGAGATCAGATCGATCCAACTAGATCAACCTAACTCCCTGGTGGTTCACGCTAAATAGCTGTCAGCCGAGCGGGCACAAAAGTTAATTACCCCCTTACAGCTTGTAGTAGGCGGGACAGACATTTAAGCCGGAATATCTTACAGTAATCTAGTGAGACTCCCCACAGGGATAGATCGATCTAAACTCTATGGGAATGCACCCGAAGATACCACCTTAGCATCAATACATAGGTCTACCAAGTTTCTGAAAATCAGCTGAAACATTTTTTGTTCTGAAATTTTATATCAACCCAGGCAGAAGAAGGAAAAAGAGAATGGACTATCCTGTACAGAGCCTGTTTTAAAACCAGTTTGTATTCACTAAGCTTACCTGCTTCAGACCTGACCATGGACTTTTTTCTGTAGAACAACATGTAAGCACTCTCCCTGCCACTGAACTGCTTCTCTATTTCTCTCTCGTGTATCGACTGCACACGAGAGTCATTGAAGTCAAACCAACAGTGTCCCTCTTCTGATGGAGTTACGCCACAACTATAGGTGAACAATGTATCAAATTAAATACGTCTTTTTCAATCAGCAATTGCTTGTTTTGTGAGATTGAAAATATCTGATCCTTTTTTAAAGCAAGCTGTTCAACTCTTTCAAGTGTAGTGCTGAGGCAGGGGGGAGTTAAAACCAATAAAAGCACACACCAAATCTCTCTTTCTCCTTCTCTCTCTCTCTCTCTCTCTCACACACACACACACACACACACACACACACACACACACACACACACACACACACACGTGCGCAAGCGACACAAACATACCCACACACCTTATGATAGAATATGTACACAGCAAAAAGAAAAACAAGAACAAACCTAGTCTTCTCTGTCATTTTGTTGCACTTCTGCTGTTGATTTTCATTATGCGCATGTACTGAGACTTTGTTTCCCCCCTCTCTACTTCGTTGGTTATTGACATCATGTGACAATGATTGACCAACTGGATTGCTTCCTTGTAGACATCCTGTATATTCTTGTAAGTACACCCAGTTAACATCAGAATTGAGCACAAATTTGTCATCAAATTTTTTCAAAAACTGGAAGAAGAATATTCAAAAGTAGTGTAATGAAAGATCATGCTTTTTTTAAGTATTAAATCATATCATTCTCTATTAGAATAAAATGAATTCAGAAGTCAGGCAAGGCTTGGCTAAGCACACAGCTGTTGAACATTATTTAGTTGAAGTAACATCTACTATTTGAAAAGATTTACAAATTAAAAGGAGACAAATGGACATAAATGAGCAACAAGAATTTGTCATATCAATGCAGCAAAAAAGTTTACTCCTTGAATCAGGTGGCATTCCTACCTCCCTGCTTCATAGCATTTGTTATCTATCAGATTAATTTAAATAAACAAGGCATAACTGTACCTTGTTAATTGGCCCATAGGTTTTCTTGAACCTTTTGTTCCAAGAAACTCCAGTTTGTTTGACCATTTCCTAAAGAAAAAGTACAAAATCACATTTAATTCAGCAACAAACTAATCATAAATGGGGAAAAATATTTTCACTGGTGAAAATTTACATCACCATAAAAATTCCAGATCAAAAATGAATTTGAGTCAATCCTCTCTTTGGGCAAATAAAATTCTTGTCTTGGAGGCCAAGTGCTCAAAATTGTTATTGTCAAACACCGACACAGATTAAAAATACTTATCACCCCAACAGGGTGTCTAAAACAATCTTGACAAACTTACAGTGCATAGTTTATCCACTGGCATTCCCTGTCTCCCCTCCCTAGAGAGCAGTGCTTGAACCAGTTCTACTGGTGACTCAAACTCTATGTAGTCTACTTTACCAGTGGAGGGGTCTGTAGGAAGACAGATCTCGGCATTTTCCTGAAAAACATAGAACAATCAGTTTCATTTTGTAAATAGTTGCTCTGGGGCTAAGCAATAAGATATTTCTGTTATCCATCTTTGGTCCAAATAATTTATTCTTTATGCAAAACTTAAGTCTCCAACAACTAATCCCTCCCAAATTTATCAAAAAAAGTCAATAAGTTGACTGATTTTCATTTAACTATGACTGGATAAATCATCTAATATCAGTGAAAAAAAGCAAACTGGAATACCACAGCAATTTTTGGTTTATTATTCTTATACATGTCTGGTCATTCTTTCTTCATAAAATAAATAAACTTAATAAACGGACTTACAGGTGCTGTCCACTTGCCCAGATTGTCCACATCTCTGATATAAGCATGATAATGACCACCAAAGCCACTACCCCTGGAAAACAACAGGAACATTATAAAGGATGAGTTTATTCTTAGGATGCATCAATTCTAAGGCTGCACATTAAATCTACAGAAACCTACGGAAACGGAATGCTCTAATTATTCAGTGCTGCTTCTCACAGAAGGAAAAAAACAGACTTAGTGTTAAATTTTTATGCATTTTTTTAGCAATCTTCTATATCTTGCTGACAATTATTCCTTAAACCCAAACAATGCAAGTAAAAATTATGCTTTCCAAATATTGATTAATGAGCTGAATTCTATCAAAAAATGTACACTTCTTCAAAAAATATTGACTTACGTATGAATAACAACTGAGAAGAGTTCATATAATGTGTCTGCATCTTCAGGCTGAAGAACAAACATATAATTGAAAATAATGTCCCTTTGAGAAAAAAATAATAAGTGAAGGATCATGAAACAATTACCTTAGATTACTTGGGCAAATATAATTTGAAGAGTTCTTTACCATTTTAAATAGCCTGTGTCATATGCCATCTATTATGGAACAATTTTCAATTGAACACATTTAAAAACAGTTAAAAGATATTATCATCACCATGCAGACCCAGAAACTTACATCATCACAGAAAAGTCCCATGTCTATCTCACGAGGAAAAGTGAACTTTCCTGTCTCCTACAAAAATTCAAGAACATTTAAAGAACATTGCCTCATTTTTTTTTTCAAAATTTCTAAAACAATGAAGGCTTTGAAACACACTAAAACTTATGCAAGTCAAAAAGTATTCAATCTGTAACTTAATTCTAAAGCATTTTTTGTTATCATTCTTTAGGGATTTCTGCATACTAGATAATGCAATGTAGTTTGGCATGAAATGTTATAAATGTGATCAAATTTACTGTTTAAAAATTTCAGTCACTTTTTCAAGATGTACCTTGTATCTTTCCATTTTTACAAAATCAAAACTAAATCTGAGCAAGGAAAATGTCAAAATGGGAGGTAAACTTTTCAATCTTGCGCCCTGAAATTGGAAAATAAGTCAGTGTAGGCATTTCAGAAAAATATCAAAGGTAGCATGTAAACATTTTTTCATCCAGACAAATATCAATTATTTTGCCATATCAAGCACAAATTGACAAAAAAAAAAAAAAAAAAAAAAAAAATTGCCAAAAGCCAAAGTAAGTTTTAATTAAAACTTGAAAAAACACATGTGTTCAACTGAAAGCGTTCAAACATCTCTTAGATAATATCATTCAATAATTTTTTACTTCTCCTGTTATACCCATATTAAAACCAAAATCACATAATACCAACCCTGTTCTTGCACTCTATCCATTTTCTTTCACTTTTACCTTTCTGGCATTGACCAGTCTGTTGCATCCCTCACATCTGTACTGGTTCTTGCCATCCATGGTCTCCATCTCCACAAAACAGTTACAAAGTCCTTCCTCAAGACTTCCTGTGTCCACCACAGTGACAGGTAGGTCCAGGTAGTCCTCCTGAAAGGTAAAAAAATAAGATCTCTCTCTCTCTCTCTTCAACATACTAAGAAACTTGATATATGAAGGTTTACTTTTCAGATTTAGGAGGTTGACAGTATCATTTGATAGGTGACCAGTCAATAGTATTTCTGAGAGAGAGATACTACTGAGTTACAGCTTTTTAAATTATATCTCATATCAGTGTTGTTTTCACCTGTCTTTCACTGGTTCTTCCACATTCTTGGCAAATAATCTGGAATTGACAATACAAAACACTGACTTTAATATTTGAAAAAAAAACACACACACGATAGATATTGATGGTTCAGAATATCTCAAATTTACAATTACAAATACAATGAATTGAGTGTTCTTTCTCAATGTCCACAGGGCCTTTGTTAAAAGGTTCTGATTAGGCACATAAACCATTCACACCCTGTTCAATATGAATCTCTTGTAATTATGTACAGCTAAGGGATGCTGAGGGACATTTTTATAAAACTGTCAACCTAACAAAAATAATATCTACGCTCCTGATTACCCTTAAACATTAAATCTGCTGGTGCTAAATGGATCATTTTCTAAATCCATCAGTCCATTTCAACCACTGCACTGACATATACACACCTTATTCACAATGGTCCCATGGTAGAGTTCCTGGATAAGGCTCTGTCTGGCAGTGCCAACCAAAGAATCCTCTATTGCACTGAACAGTATACGGTTCAACTCCTGAACATCATGCTGCTGTAGACTCTGATAATATGAAGTTCATATTGGTTATACAGAGGAAAATGGACAGTGAAAGTTACTAGCCATGTGGATTGCCAAATCATTCTTTATAGCTATTTCTGGAAAAATATTCAATCTAGCCAAATGCCAGAAGTGTTACTGTATATAGTTACTGTATTCTTTTTGTGATTATTATTATTATTGTTATGGACAGATAGATAAAAGGAGGACATACAGTTAATTAATGAGAGAGCAAAGAAGTGACAGAATGTGCAAATGAGAAAGAAAGAAAGAAAGAAAGAAAGAAAGAAAGAAAGAAAGAAAGAAAGAAGGTGGCAGAGAACAGTACTTATTGGATCTTTTCAATGGGCAAAAATTATCAAACTTTAGTGGCCTGCTTTTTAATTTTGTCACTTCCACTCAATAGGATCGAATGTCCTAATTTTAAGAAATTATTACTTTAAAAATATAGTATCTGTAAAATACACAATTTTCCCTCGCTTAAAAGATCAAGTAATTATCATACACAAACCTCATTATTTGTCCAGCCAAAGCTGTCTGTTAGCTCTGTTGTACTGGCAGTTTGCTGATTACAGAGCAGCAATCTGGCAAACAGTCTCTGCAACTGAATTGGAATAACTCGCACCTGGAAATAATCCAAATGTTTGTATGCTCAATTATGTATGTTCAACTGATAAACACTAAAAAACACTATACTATGATTTGATTTAGTTAAATTTACTGGAAATGGGCCTAGATCTATGATATCATCTAATTTACCTTTGATCCTGGTTTATCCTTATCCTGTAGGCAACCAAGATCCTTAGGTCCAAGTTGAAATAAAGACTCTGAAATACAATAATTTGTTTACATAAATACTGTATCTCGAAATGTTCATTTGCTAATATAAATTTATTTGTGAAAAAAAGTCATGCTTCTGATGTGGCTGAATTAAGCCAAAAATGATTTATAAGACCTACATTACGTTGCTATACTGTGAGCAATTTTCAAGTTTCAAAATAACTTCGCAAGGCAAGCCCAGACAAGTCAGCAGAGAAGGAAAAAAAGATAACAAATATTTCGCAAAAAAAAAA